AAACTGGTATAATTCAAGATAATACACCCTTTGTATAAATGCAGCATTTACAGGTTGTTTTCATCGGGACTGGCATGAATGGTTGGGCAGGATGTGTAATGCACAAGCCACACAGCTAAGGAAGAGCTGTTCACGTCACAGACATCATGGATTTGAATACTTATGAAACAATTTTCCTGAAAAAGGCAGTAGGACATCTTATTCAAATAATGTCATCAAGCCGGGTTGGCATGGCTCAGTGGTTGAGCATGGACCTGTGAACCAGGAGGTTCGATTCCCAGTCAAGGCACATGCCTGGGTTATAGGCTTGATCTCGTGCAGGAGGCAGCTGATCAATGATTCTCATCAGCGATGTTTCTCTCACTCCATCTCCTTCCTCTGCTGAAATCAATAAAAACACATTTTTTAAAAATGTCATCAATTCTTTGTTTCTGGATGGTTGGAAACAAAGCATTTTGAGGAAGGGGATTTTTAAAAGAGACACATAATGGAGGAGCATTTGACATATTGCCACCCCCCTCCCCTGCACATGTCATCAGTTTGGCTCCAATAAGCTCACCAGAATTCTCTGCGGGTCTGGACGTCCTTACGTCACGGGCCGGCACGCAGCGCGTGGTGCGTCAGGACCCGGGGAAGCCCACCTGCTTCCTGCCTCCCCTCCGGCCAACAGGTGCGTTTCTCTCAGGATTCTCGGCCTCCTGCTCTCAGTAGCCGGCCATGACTGTATTTAAGCTGCTCTTCAGAAACCCTCAAGGTGGGTAAGGGTTGAGACAACCGGGGAAAGAAAAAAAAGGTGCCGCTCTCAATTTCGGCTTTTTCGTTGGGTTGCTCGCTGAGAGTCTCCAGGAAAGTTGTGCTGGGCCCACGAGAGACCCAGCTCCCTCTTCCCCAGGAGAGAGGACACTTGCTTCCCCAGCCCCCATGGCCGAGGTGCCGGCACTCAGGCTTCACCCCTGCGCATCCGGAGTGGCGGGCAGTGAGGACCCAGGGAGGCTCGGGAAGGGGCCGCCTCGGGAAGCCTGGTGGCCCCGGGCTGCCGGTGAGCTCTGCCCGGCCCTTGCCCGGGACCCGGAGGTGAATCAGGGTTTTTGAGGCTTTGCCTGCGGAAAAGCTGCCTCTGGGCGTAAGGCAGGGCTGAAGGAGGCCCACTGCGTTTGGCTTGTCCGGAGACAGGCAGGTAGGGCTGGTTTCCCTAGAATTTCCTTAGACCTGCAGGTCTCACCGTGATCCCGGGAAATCATGCCTCAGCGGCGGATAGGACACGCTGAGTCAGCCTCTCCGCAGCCCTGACGGTGTGGCTCAGTGGCTGTGCACCGACCTGTGAAGCAGGAGGGCCCGGCTCAATCCCCGGTGTGGGGCGTGCGGGAGGCAGCCCATCAGTGATTCTCTCTCGTCATTGATGTTTCTCTCTAAAATAAAAAAATGCATATATTTTTAAAAACCAACAGAACACTAAAAAACCCAACGTGGCTGAGATGGGGACCCTTTGATAGTTCTAAATTAACTTTACTGTGCACATTGGAAAAAGCTGGCTATAATGTTAGGCAGGATGAATGGAAAATGTATTGGTCTCCCCAAGCTTCAAAAAGAGGATTTAGATAAAAACTTCAACTAGGATGTCATTGAGGTGTCAACCCAGTTCTTTGAGGAATTAAAAATGCCCGTCCTGCCCGGCCAGTGCAGGTCAGTGGTAGAGTGTGGATTCATGCACCAACTGATCAGGGCACATGCCTGGGTTGGGGGCTTGAAAGCATGCAGGAAGCAGCTGATTGATGTTTCTCTCTCCTTTTCCCTTCCTCTCTAGAAAAATCAATAAAAACCCGTTTTAAAAAATTTCTGTCCTAATTTTATTTTATCTTTTTCTCACCAACTTCAATGTGACATAGAAACATCGATTGGTTGAAACATGTAATACTTTAAACAATAAAAAAAAAAACCCAACAATTGGTTGCTTCCCACATGCACCAAAACGCAGGGAGCGGGGGTGGGGGGGGGGTGGTGGTGAGGGGAATCCACAACCCTCCCGTGCATAGGCTGATGCTCTAACCATTGAACCATGCTGTCCAGGGTTGTCCTAATTTTAAAAGGGGGCTGATCATTTGGAACTTGACTTGTCATGGAATTTACAATGTAAATTGTAAATGCCTCCAGGGAAAATTTGGATTCAGTTGTCCTTTTATAAGCTAGTGAGTTTTTCTAATGGTCAAATGGTTTCTGTTTGTGTCTGTCCATCTTGTACATGTGAGATAATTTTCTACCTCTGGATGGTGTTGTTAAAAATTAATTCAAAGATGAAGGCTTGTAATATTTGGGTATTCTAAAAGTCTCAGAAATATAGAAGCTAACACAAATGCTTTTCAAGTTCATGTGACCTAAGTTTAATCTTTAGTAAATAAAAGCTACCTTAAGTTTGTTGGTTTAAGTAAAACAGACATTTATTTTGTCCGGTTTTAAAAAAATAATTCCGTGTTAGTAATGACTTTAAGGTCTAATATAACTAATGTTTCTAGAGGTTATAAAATGTCCAAGCCAAAGGATGCTAATTGCTTATTTAGGTTTCATTAGAAATTGAGTTTTTGTTTTTTTGCTATAATTGCTTTTTTTAATAATTCAATTTCATGATAAACAGACCCCAAAATAAAGACCAGTTTGTAAAACTGGCCCATTTTAATGTTCTTTACGATAGAATAAATAATTCTCTCGATGACTGCAGACATGTAAGCTGTTTGATAGCACTCAGAAACAGCACAGTAAAGGAGCTGATTGGTGTATAGTCTTCAACAATTACAAAGAGTTACTTGTATGAAATTGCTGTCAAACCAGGAAGACTGCATTTATGCCCCCATCATTTTCAGGACTGGTTGGTAACCTGGGAATATTTTCCCCAAATAACCTTGCCTCCTTGTGTCACAAGGCCCAGCTCATTCACGTTCACCTCGATGGCAGCACCTTTGGTTATAACACCCAAAGTTGTATAAAGTGGGGAGAAGGGATTCTTCTTTACACCAAGTATTGGCAGCTTTCCGTTCAGGATGTGTTAGGTGGGCCTTCTTGAAACGTACGTCCATTGGCCTAATGAATCTCATATTTAGGTGGTTTTCAAGTAAAGCCCTCTCTAACAAAGCAGACTTTAGTAACCATCCTCTTCCATGCTTTTGTCTTTCTCTTTCCTGTTCGAATAACTTTTAATACCTGTTTCTCCCTGGGCACGAACTTTGGGCAGAGGGACTTCCCATTTTCCCACTTTCTCTTTTCGTTTTTGTTTAATCATACTGGAAAGTACTTTGGCTCGTGACTGTCCCTCTCTGTCTAGTAGGTATGCAGATACTGCTCCTTGTGGAGTCTTTTAGTCATTCTTTTGTTTGGTGTTTCGTTTTTCATGCATCATGATAGTTTTTTTAATTTGTGTTTTCTCAGCATGGTGCTGTTTATGGTAGAGCTTAGCCTTCAGACCAACCATCTTTTTTTGCCTTCTTTGAATGTTCATGAACCTCTCGGCCTGCCTTCTTTCTCTTTTTCTCACGGTAATCCAAACGATATCCATAGAGCTTCCAGGGTAACTCAATATACATTTTGTGGCATGGTGACAGCCGCTGGGCCCCCGGGTGCAGTCCCCCACGCGAAGAAGCTCTCAATTCTCGGGTCTCAGAGACTTGCTAGAAATTGAGTTTAAGGGTTTAAAATCTCAATATATGTAGGAATAACTTGGTGGTATTTCAGAAGGACCCCTGGAATACCTCAAAATATTTGAAATTGCATGGGAAGCATCATAAAATTAGTGATGAAAACTTCTAGGGTATATTGTGTGGATAAACAATGGTTGTAAATTAAACAAATAGTAGGGGCTATGGGAAACCCAAGATGGCTGTTTGGTTCTTCCCTGCTCTCTGGCTAATCAATATAACAGATTGAGAGTCAGAATCTATCGTAGAAAATGAATGCTGTAGGCTTATGTATTTGACACTGCATTCCTTCCCAGGTGGCAGGACAATGGCATATACTGGGAGCAATACATTCACCACCATTTTTACATTTCTGAATGCAGATAGCTGCAAACAGAAACATACACAAGTCAAAAATATGATTTACTAAACAAATCCTATCATAAAACGCAGAAATGTTCATTAGAGAAATAAAATGACAGTTAAAAATCAGTGATGAAAGGATCTTTTCCCTTAACATTTTATCCAGAATATTTCCAATGTCACTACTTATTCTTGATTTTAATGGTTGTATAATGTCCCATTGATAAAGTGCATAGTGATTTAACTTTCCTCCAATTAGACATCATATTGCTTCTCATTTTTCTCTTTGACCAATATGTTATCATAGCTGCTCATTTTAACTAATAATTTATAAAAAGGAAAAATATATTTGAATGAGGAGAGCTGCTATCATTTAAAAAACTAACCAGGTTTGAAAGCAGTGGCACCCCACCTTGGGAGGTTCTAAATTGGTTGGTCTGAGATGGGACCATGAAATTAGTAATTTTTTAAATCCTTCTCCTGACTCCTCTTTAAAACTAGAAGACCAGGACTTAAAGACTGGCTATTTATCCTGGCAATTGCAGTGGACAGACTGGAAAATACAATATATCTGCTTCCTCTGCTAACTCGAAAGAACAAGTTGAAAGGATTTGGCATTTTACTCAGATTTCTTTTCTTTTTTTAAAGATATCACTTAAAATAGAAACAAATAAAGCAAAAATAAAAACAAGGAAAATGTTCTTTGTCTTAAATTTGAATTCATATTCACAAGATAATGGAGGTGTTAGCACTGAGTATTCCTCTTACGTGTGTTGCAGTGTTTCCCTCTCCAACCAGAAGGACAAGAGCAAACGTTTGGTCCCACACATTTTCCTCCATTCATGCATATGGGATCACAGATACCTTAAGGTAAAAAGATGAAATGTCAGGTCTTCAAAAGCAATAGTTTAGCTATTTAATGTGTTTTATTTACCTGTAGTTGGCAAATACATGTAGTGGTGTCTTACTTTTTTGGCATCTCCTACCAGTGTATCCTTCACGACAGGTACACACATTATTTCTCACGCAGTGGCCACCATTCTTACAGGGAGGGTGACAGATAGCTAAAAGAATACATGGCAGCAATCTGTGAATATTACACATTCAATTGCTATATATTACATATTGCATCGTGTGCTTGTTATCTGTGGGGCCATAAGGCAGAGAGATGTGCTATTAAAATAAAAGATCACAACTGCAAGTACTAAAATCACCCCTTCTAAATCAAAATACAATTCTTGGAGCTATAAGCTGCTAGTGGGTTAGCACAGTTTGCAATGTATTGGGGAATTGGTCATAACAAATGCAGTCTTTGGTATTATAGTGCACATAGTATGAACCTTATCTTATGTTTTACCACACTTTAAGTAAAGAATGAAATGATCTGACCAAAACCAAGAAAATATGTCATAACCTAGCTCTGTGTAAGAATTTATCTGTTCCTGTGGAAATCAGAAAAATCTAAATAATCTGTCACATAATATTTGGAAAATACTTTAACTTTTAAATACCTACCGAGGTAATGAGTGCAGAGCTTTATATGTGACTTTTCTGTGACTGTTTGGTAAAAATCTTTTAAACAGTAAATCCTTGGCTTTGTTAGGAATATTTATTGGGTAATCTTGAACATACAGTAGTATTCTATGAAGCTCAGAATCTAATATCTTTTATGAAAGGATTATTATATTGCTTCATGTTTCTTCTAGCTATGACAATTAAATGTGGTTGTTTTAAAAATAATAATACATAGGCAATTTTAAATTTAATTTTTCCTAAATGATAAATAAATAAATTTTAGTGTGTGTTTTAAAAATGAATGTCAAATAATGGTGAGGGCTGTTGCTATTTTTTATTATGGAGAAATACTCTCCTAGTTAACTGTTGGCATATAAGTTTTATTTAAAATATTTTTTACTGATTTCAGAGAGGAAAGGAGAGGGAGAGAGAGAGAGAAACATGAATGATGAGAGAGAATCATTGATTGACTGCCTCCTGCATGCCCCCTACTGGGGATCAAGAGACAATCCGGGCATGTACCCTTGAATGGAATTGAACCTGGGACCTTTCAGTTCGCAGGCTGACGCTCTATCCACTGATCCAAACCAGCTAGGGCATGCATATAAATTTTTGAGAATTGCCCGGCCAGTGTGGCTCAGTGATTGAGCTTCCAATGACCCAGGAGGTAATGGTTCTATTCCTGGCCAGGGCACATGCCTAGGTTTTGGTCTCGATCCCCAGTAAGGGGCCTGCAGGAGGCAGTTGATCAATGATATCTCTCATCATTGATGTTTCTATATTTCTCTCCCTCTCCCTTCCTCTCTGAAATCAATAAAAATATATTTTAAAAAAATTTAGAAAATAAAATAAACTTAAAAATTTTTAGAGAACTTTAAAATTATATTTTACATCTACTTCAAATAGTATAAGAGATGTAAGCTTTTCGTTTCCCTTATAACATTCTCCACTTAACATTATATCTATAACTCATAAACTTGGGCTTAAACATAGTCTCCTAATTTTCAAGATTTGCCTTATCTCTGTCTTTACTTTCTTCTCTTTTTCTATTTAGTTTCTTATAGGAAATTTGAATTATAGGAACTCGTTTCCAATGTGCATATATCTAGTATTAAAATGATGTGTTTTTTTCCCTCTGCCTCAATTGCCACCTTCTAGCCAACATCCAAATAAAAAATTGGAATAAAATCAAAGTGTAACAGGACAAAAAAAAGTATACATTTTAGGAATTAAGTTCTGACATGTTCTGACATCTGCAAGTTTGTTTATTTTGTTTGTTCATTTGTTGCTTTTTGTTTTTTACTAAAAAATCTACCCTACACTTTGCATTAGCTAAAAAAACATGAAGATCAGAAGATGCATTTTAAATTTCATTTATTGACATTAATTCACGTCTACACTGACAACTTCAGGCATGCCCACTATTCTGAAAAACCCATAGCATTAACATTATGAGGGAAAGTATTAAAATAACAGGCCATAAAGGGGAAATGATGCATTTTTATGTTCACATATCACCTTGCATAGTGCTGTGCATATCTGGCTCTTCATAAATGTTTAATAAAACTGAAGTCAAGAGAGATCATGAGATAAAAGTGATCTAAAAAAAAATAGCATCTTTCCTTTGGAACTTGTCTCTTTATATTTACTCAGATCTCTGTTTATGTCTAACTTCCCCTTAGCCTTTTCATTTATAAAGAAAGAATAATTACCATTCTGACACTGTGCGCCAAAGAATCCATTTGGACAGCGGCAAGTGTTCGGCTTATTACAGGAACCACCATTGAGGCAAACAGGGTCACACAAAGCTAATGAATAGCAGGAAGGAGAGAGACCATAAAAGTTTTATTATTTAAAAAAAAATGAAAGCTTCATGGAAGTGCAAAATGGTGCATAATGAAATATTTTTTATTTTTACTGCAAATAAAACCCATAACTTACAATTAGTTAGAATTTGCCAAATACAAGAGGAATAAAATAACTGGATAAAGCTTTGAAAGTCTGTTCATCAAGCTTACAAATAATACCAAGCTAAGATTATGGTTAGAATTCAGAATGCCCTTGTTAAGCTGAAAGGGTGACTAGAAGTTAGGAGAAGGCAGTTCAATAGCTCAAACAGGATGGTCTGTAATCGCGCAAGTACAAGTGGCCATGTGGATCTCTTTACGTCTCCTTCCCAATTCATAAGGAACACTGCACTCAAGTCCTAGCACACTAAAAAACAATCTTTGTTTTTGCTTCTTTACCTTTGCTTCATTTTAAAAGGTACCCCCAATTACATTTTTCTTTTTAAGAATTCATTTATTGGGTTACACTGGTTAAAAACAAATTTCAAGTGTATAATTTTATAATACAACATCTGAATACTGCATTGTGTGCTTACCACCCAAAGTTTAGTTTCCTCCCATCACCATATACTTGATACCCTTTACTTCTTCGTTCTTCCCCAACCTCCGTCCCCTCTGGTAACCACCATTCTGTTGTCTGTATCTGCAAGTTTGTTTATTTTGTTTGTTCATTTGTTGCTTTTTGTTTTATACCCCACATATGAGTGAAACCCTTTTCCCTCCAAAATGACTTGCCAAAATTAATTTTCCTCTTCTCTGCTTCCAAGAAACTGTACATTAATTACATAATTTATTATAACTCAACTTGCATCAGAGTCTTTTTAATAATGCAATCCTGTTCTCCTTCACTAATGATATGCTCCTTAAAAGCAGGGCAAAATCAGATTGATCTTTGTTTCCCTTTGCATTATGCTTCGCACATAGTTGGCAAGCTACAAATGTTGAATTAAATCTATGTTGAAAAAAGTCATTAGAATACAATGTATTAGATGAAACATAGATAATTGCAAACACTGCTGCCAAGAAGTAAGCCTGATTTTGTGATAAATGAATTATTTGATGGTGCCCACTTAACTCAAAATTGCTTGAATGTTTAATGAAATAGAATGTCTGTGATTTTAAAAAAATCCCACAACAACTTGAGGTCTAGAAGATGCAACACAGATATGTCTCTCCACCATGAGGCAAGTGGATGAAGAAAATATAGAAGCAAAAATAAAAAAATATATATTGGTCAGGTTGGATGACAATAAAGCTGTTATATCGTCTATGGTTTAATATAAGAAGAAAAAGAATGAAGATAAAAGATAGGTTTTTAAAAATATGTCTGAAATAAAAACTTCATACCAATCTTGTCAGATTAGTTTTATGATTTGGGGTACAAGTCTTTAGGATATTGATGCATTTAAATTTTCTTTTAACTGATATTTATTGAAAATATTTTTTATTTTACCTGTACTGCAGATGGGGCCATACTAGCCAGGCTTGCACTGGCAAACATCTGGTGTAAGGCATTCACCTCCATTTTCACAGTGCTTGTTACAAACCACTAAGATCATAGGACACAAATAAAAGAAAGGTAGACTGGGCTTGGAATTGGTCATGTTATTGATTATTACCTGGTTAGCTCAGAACTGCCTATTACATCTTTAATGAATAAAATCAGAAAGAAAGATAAAAATAATTTTTCCATTGGCTTTACAAGGTCTCGATTTCTCACATCAAGTTATTTTTATTTTACTTATTTTGCTGATAGAGATGGGAAAGTAGGAAACCATTGAGCTGAATGGTAAACAAGAAATGGCCATTTGGAAAAATTATTAGTTACTAATGAAAGTAATCACAGGCATAAATTAAATGAGATACATTTATATGTAATTCAACAAACTGAATTCCTGTCATCTAAAAAAAAAAAAAAAAGGAGAAATGGTCATGAATAAGGCCAAAAAAAAGAGTTGCTTATAAGAAGAAACTTTTATTTTAGTTTTGTTACCCAGCACTCTCAGTAGTATGCTGAATGGTAACTGTCATAATAAATCACAAATGTGTGGTTTTTCCTTGGGGTTGGGTTTATATCAATTAGCATTAAAGCCATCAACTGTTCAAAGGAGCACTTTCATTATATGAGTCCACAAGAGCTTTGCTTACTTGTTTTGCACCTTGGTCCCACAAAACCATACGGACAGGTACAGAGGTTTCCAGCCAAGCAGGTGCCACCATGTTGACAAGGTGGGCTACAATATTCTGCAGACACAGATTATGTTATTAAGTCAGCTCTCAATTTTTAAAAAAGTCAGTTTTTGTTTATAAAATACAGCCACAATAAAAGCTTTTTGTAAGAGCAAATTATAATAAGCTCAGTTATCTTTTACTATGAAATTTGGTTCTGTAGGATTCACTATGAGTTCGGGCTCTAAAAATACCCACAAATCATTAGCATGTCTTGGTTTATAAAACTTATGATTAACTGATAAGATTATATATGATCTTAGCTTTCTTCTGGAAAGTGATACTTAGACATATGCATTCTAGCTTACAAGTAGAACACTTTTATATTTCCATAATTATTTTCATATGCTATTGATATTGACTGTTTCTGTTGGTTCTAGATTTAGTTTAATTTGTTACTTTGTACCTTGTTATGAAAGCATTTAATATGGCTCTATTTTATTAATAACTAATAGCCCAGTGCACAAAATTCGTGCACTGGGGTAGGGGTGGCGGGGAAAGGGCCCCTCAGTCTGGCCTTCACCCTCTCCAATCTGAGACCCCTCAGGGAATGTCCAACTACCTGTTTGTGCTCACACTTTTAACAGATAACAGCTCCATTGTTGTTTCTTTCTTATGCTTAACACCATTG